ATGAACCTGCATTAGGTGTGTGTGCTTACGAAGTGTGCAGTTATATGATCAGTTATTATTTATCACATTCAATGTTTAGGGGAATGAGAGTTTTATTGGTACCATAACCTGATAATGCTTTCAAGGTGTTTCTAAGCGGCGCAAATTGATCACAGCACACGACCAGTCTCTTTTGTTAAGAGCTGAGAGTGTCGCTAGTACTGCATTGCAGCCCTCCACATATAGGATAGTTCCATGTTGTCTGTGCGATGCGAAATGTTTGTGAAGTAGACGAGAGTTTTTCAAGGAAAAGTACCGTTATTTCACTGAGATCTGAGTAGTCCTATTTGTGGTCAATATCATGTCGATTTCAGGTAAGATATGACACATTCTTTGACCTTATTTTCCCCCAAAAATTATACTTCTAACATGAATAAAACAAGTTTTGATGTGGTGAGTCATTGAATTCACCGCTGCACGAATGTATTTCAAAAGCTTTGCAACCTTGGTCAGTCAAGTCATGAACACGTTAATAAAAAACACCCAACCAAGTAATTCCTGGGGTGTTTATATTACACAGTATCAACAGACGGTCCTGGTACGTGGCGTTCCTTGGTACACTCTGGGTATTATTTAACAAACACGGACTCAAACACTTGCCTTGTTGAACCCCTCATCAGGTTTCTGACCCTTCATATATTCAGGCAGTATAGCATGGGCGGGCTCAATCAGGTACGTAAAGTACGGGACATTACGCGTGGGTAAAGCTCAGGGGCTTTGTGCCCCACGCTGCAACTTTGTATTCATGAAACGACCTGACGAGTATGTTCAATGTTCATGTGTTGACTTTGGCCAATGACCCACTGTAAAACTATGCTGCGAATTCATACTAAAACCTTGGTTCGTAATAACACGGCTTCCATTGTGATAACTCCATATCAATGAGTGTGGTTTGTGTTATTTAACGCTACAGTCAGAAGTTGTTGGTATTGGGGGCAAAGTCCTCACCTGGGACATGCTATGACCAAAGCCAACGATCTTGTCCACGCAATCAAATAAAGTAGAGTCCCACAAGATATAAGCAAGTGATTTCTTCAGGTGTATAAGCATTAAATATACAAAGGTGTATTTGTGTCAAAACTTCATTAACACCTCCACAAGATCTTTGGCCGATCAATGGCTCTTCAGGTAGCCATAGGCAACACACAAACAATAGTATGCCTACAGTTAGTGACAACAGAGGGAAATGTAATATGTGTATTTATTACGAGGGCAAACATATCGGGGTTCATTTAAGGATTGGCTGTGTATTTGTTTCTGTTCATTGAGGCTACGCGGATTCATATAATTTGCACATCGGTTTTTTCGATTCATACCTCAATGAACCGAAACAATACACAGTCCATGCTTATAATTGAAATCGACATCATTGGTTGCACGGCTCCACGTGCTGTCATCGAAGCCCAACGGAGAGCTGACGATACGGTCACTTTGATGTATAAATATATTTTGTCATGCAACTCTGTCGCAGCTGTAGTAGCATATTTGTATAATTATGCAAAACATCAAAGTGATCGTATCGTCAGCTCTCCGTTGGGCTTTGATGACATCACGTGGAGCCGTACAACCAATGTAAACAAAGGATAACTACGCAGAAACAAGTAGATTTTCACACATTAGGATACTGTCTTAATGAACCGTAACCGTTCCTTGACATGTGTTTATGAAAATGTGTAGACTTGTCAAACATGAAACGGATGAAAAGCATATGCAATATCTTGAATGGACTGTGAAAGATGTGACGAATCGTCACATGGCACTGGCCTGTGGCAGAGGTACTATGCTGGCTGGCTGCCGGCCGCAAGGAATTCTGGGTAGGAGAGTGATTCATTGGGAAATGAGTGCAATAACACCTGACCAATTCAGATAATCAGAATGCAGGAATTTCAATGAATACAACGAAAACTTAATCATAAAAATCATATATGTGCCCTAGGGTCATATCATGTCACGTGACATAAGTGTATTATTTCAGCCATCCATGCGGCATTGTTGACGTCATTCGAATCATATTGCGACAGGAGGTCGGAATGACGTCACACTAGAAACGACGTCATAGCTGAATATTGTTGACGTCATTCGACAAATTAAGGTTCCGTTCCTAATGGTAGCCATGTGCAGTTGTCTTGCTAGAGGGGCGGTTGGGTAGCCTAGTGGTTAAAGCGTTGGCTCGTCACGCCGAAGACCCGGGTTCGATTCCCGACATGGGTACAATGTGTGAAGCCCATTTCTGGTGCCCCTCGCCGTGATATTGCTGGAATATTGCTAAAAGCGGCGTAAAACCATACTCACTCACTCACTTGCTAGAACACCAATCACTCTGTTTTCCAAAGGAATAAATGCATTATCTTGCTACAAACGCAATGGGTCAATGTCATGGTCAAATGTCTACGTACTGAAAAACAGACGGACGGACGGACGGACGGACGGACGGACGAACAGCGGAAGAAACAGATATACAATCCGACACTGACGAACTGTCGGCAAAAGATACAAGAATATTTATTAACGTCGGTTATGGGGTAAAAAACACATTAGCTCTCAAGAGCTATTTTTTCGACATAGGAAAGAGACAATACCAGACAATCTAACACCAAACCTCTGTAGCTGATTTGCCCAAGTCACCTTGTGATGTTTGCGATGCTGGGTCACATTGACGGAGAGTTTAGCAGGTGCAGATTGTGTTTGTCCGCGGGCACTGACCTCTCGGTGTAGGTCAACCCCCATCAGGTCTCTGTTAGTCGGGCAACATGGAGAAACACATCTCCAAGTTTACCACTGACTCACTAATCACATCGTCCCCTCTGACAGGTACACACCAAACGGCGCCACGCGCTTCTATTTGACTTTGGAGCAATACAAGAAAAATCGGATCTTCACGAAACCTTCGTCCTATCACACAACTACTGATGGCTTAAGATTGTTGCATATTGAATCTGCAACACTGCTAGTCCCCAAGGTGTCTTTTTCCTTGATACTCGGAATTGTAAGATGTAGGTATGGACAAAGATGTGGTATTTTTTCTGCCCGGCATCTAAAAATACCCTCTGCAATTATATAGTACCTGGTGTGAAATGATTATTAGGTAATATTTGGACGTCCATAAAACATTGACTGGATTCTAGTGAGTGAGTATTGTTGTACGCCGCCCTCTGCAATACCCCAGCAATGTTCCGACTGGGGACATCAGAATGGGCTTCACGCATTTTTACCATGTGAGGAATTGAACCCTTGCCTTCGGCGTGACTAGCTAAAACTTAACCACGAGTCTACCTCTCCTGCCGTTTTAATTTAAACAAGAGCGACAAACACTTTCCATATTCATAAGAAATATCTGCCAAGTCGATTTACGATTCCGACCTTTATCATGAGCATGTGTCCATGAATCACCATCAAATTGTGATGATACAAGGATTTCGCGAAAGGGTGGGCGTATCCTGCCACACCGGTGGCGCTCGTCATAAACACATGCAAAGACAAGTCAATTGCTCACCTGAAAAAAACACGGCATGTTAACAATAGGAATCAATGTAAGAGGCTCACTGACTTAATACCACATATGCATATGCACCTTCGACCTTTAAACTGTTATTGCCAGATTTTAATGTACTTTCGTCCTATTGTCTATGCCATCATGCTATTGTCAATTGTTTTATGTTGCCGGCATACATAATGTTATAGCTGTACCTGGATGCATGCATGGTCAACAGAGCGCATGGAGGCATACACAGGCATACAGACACATGCTGTTCTCTGTATGTATCAACAGCAGTGGCCATCATGACGGCGCGCATCTCATATTATATCCAACTTTATGCTCACCCTTGAGTATCGAGTAAAGCCGTTCGGATTACGCATTTAAATCTATTGTGTGTTTAAACGGACGTATCAAGTCATAAATATCAAGTCGTAAACATGCCTGCCTAGTTCCGGCTCTCGGGACCATACAACACTTTCTTCCTATAGGGTGGTGTGCATGGACATCGTTTCATGTGGTAAGCAATGACGAAACCTGATTAAACGTTCTTAACGTTATCAGTGCTTAATTTCTGTATGTCTGGTCTGTTTGTGGTAGAACATGTATGTTTCAATAAAGTGTAGACAATGCGTATGACATGTGTCTTAATGCAGGAAATGTGTATAATGTGTTCCGGAGGCACACAATGCGTGGTGCATGTGTCTTGCAGTCAGTGTCTTCAGCGGGTGTTTTGATGCAGACAGTGTCTTCAGCGGGTGTTTTGATGCAGACAGTGTCTTCAGCGGGTGTTTTGATGCAGACAGTGTCTTCAGCGGGTGTTTTGATACAGGCAGTGTCTTCTGTGTGTGTTTTGATACAGACAGTGTCTTCTGTGTGTGTTTTGATACAGACAGTGTGTTCTGTGTGTGGTTTGATGCAGACGGTGTCTGCAGTGTGTGTTTTGATGACATGCGGAATCTGGCACATTTGTGGTAAAGGTCGATACAGTCCATCTACTGCGGCCCATCAACAGCCTGTCCCTCAACAAACAGTAGTTACAAGGTTTTAACGTTCTTCAATCAAGAGACCACATCCCGATATAAGTGTTCTGATGGTCTCGCTACTTTATGGAACGGACAATCACGGTAATGGGCTGTATGATAATGTGACAATACACTAAGACACAATGTTATATAAACTTTTTTAAAAACTAAAAATACTGTTGTGAAGACAACTTACATTTTCAAGCTACATTTCCATTGACATTTTTGCTTTTCATATAGTCAAACCATACACAATACTTTCGAAACACAGATGGTCTTTTTTCAATGTATGTTGGGTTTTTTCTTCTTGTTTTGACACATTCTGTTTTGATTTATTCTTAAAATGTCAAGCATCCTGACCTTACACTAAATACTGATTTTTTTCCATGACCATAGTTATAAATTGAAATATGAAAAAAAGCAAATTGCAGTTTTTAAGACATGCAATATTTCAAACTTACCTCTTTGTTTCCCATTTTGGTTATGTCCTATGCCCTGATATGGCACTGGTTGACTGGGATATGGCCCGACTCCTCTATACTGTCGATCGTATTGACACACCCTGTTCAAACACTGTCACGTGGGGTCTCGACACACAGGACACCATCCAGTCATCTGCCTCATAGGAATATGAAGTCCATTTGTCAGTGTTGGTCATTGTTTGTAGCTTTAGTTCATCGGTGCAACAATAATCAGAGCTGATTACCTGAGTATCGGAAATCAATTAAATAACATTCACATTTTCTGACTGTCGATTGCATATTTAGTTTTCCACAAATTTGCTGTTGCGAACACTGTTATTGTATCATCCACATGTGTGTCCATTGCGGTAGGTCTGGCATAATAGACTTCAAATTAACATTATTATATGAAAAATTAAATTATATGATATATATATTACTTTCGAAAACAAATTCAAAGCTCTTCATTCAAACCTTACTTGAGGAAACCAAATCTTGAAATGTTTTGCTACCTGAAAGGTTATTGAATAATTACAGTTCAGATAGATAAATAGATAGATAGATAGATAGATAGATAGATAGATAGATAGATAGATAAATATATATATATATATAGAGAGAGAGAGAGAGAGAGAGAGAGAGAGTGAGAGAGAGAGAGAGAGACAGATAGATTCGTAAAGTGAAACTCTGTCAGTGTGGAAACCCTATCTTACCGGATGAATAGTTGTGCGCGTCGGCTTGGTATACTTTCGCACCCAGAAATGATGATGTGGTGTGATAGTTCGCCTTCACTCATAATTACACCCTTATGTTGCTAAAGTATCAGGTTAGTGTATAGGTGGCGCTGCATACGATGCTAGTAATGTGTAATAGATCAGGCTGGTGTATAGGTGGTGGTGCATACGGTGCTAGTAATGTATAATGGATCAGGCTGGTGTATAGGTGGCGGTACATACGATGCTAGTAACTTGTAATGGATCAGGCTGGTGTATAGGTGGCGGTACATACGGTGCTAGTAACTTGTAATGGATCAGGCTGGTGTATAGGTGGCGGTACATACGGTGCTAGTAACTTGTAATGGATCAGGCTGGTGTATAGGTGGCGGTTCATACGGTGCTAGTAATGTGTTATGGATCAGGCTGGTGTATAGGTGGCGGTACATACGGTGCTAGTAACTTGTAATGGATCAGGCTGGTGTATAGGTGGCGGTTCATACGGTGCTAGTAATGTGTAATGGATCAGGCTGGTGTATAGGTGGCGGTACATACGGTGCTAGTAACTTGTAATGGATCAGGCTGGTGTATAGGTGGCGGTTCATACGGTGCTAGTAATGTGTTATGGATCAGGCTGGTGTATAGGTGGCGCTGCATACGGTGCTAGTAATGTGTTATGGATCAGGCTGGTGTATAGGTGGCGGTGCATACGGTGCTAGTAATGTGTTATGGATCAGGCTGGTGTATAGGTGGCGCTGCATACGGTGCTAGTAACTTGTAATGGATCAGGCTGGTGTATAGGTGGCGGTACATACGGTGCTAGTAATGTGTTATAGATCAGGCTGGTGTATAGGTGGCGGTACATACGGTGCTAGTAATGTGTAATAGATCAGGCTGGTGTATAGGTGGTGGTGCATACGGTGCTAGTAACGTATAATGGATCAGGCTGGTGTATAGGTGGCGGTACATACGGTGCTAGTAACGTGTAATGGATCAGGCTGGTGTATAGGTGGCGGTACATACGGTGCTAGTAACGTGTAATGGATCAGGCTGGTGTATAGGTGGCGGTACATACGGTGCTAGTAATGTGTAATAGATCAGGCTGGTGTATAGGTGGCGGTGCATACGGTGCTAGTAATGTGTAATAGATCAGGCTGGTGTATAGGTGGCGGTGCATACGGTGCTAGTAACTTGTAATGGATCAGGCTGGTGTATAGGTGGCGGTGCATACGGTGCTAGTAACTTGTAATGGATCAGGCTGGTGTATAGGTAGCGGTACATACGGTGCTAGTAATGTGTTATAGATCAGGCTGGTGTATAGGTGGCGGTACATACGGTGCTAGTAATGTGTTATAGATCAGGCTGGTGTATAGGTGGCGGTACATACGGTGCTAGTAATGTGTTATAGATCAGACTGGTGTATAGGTGGCGGTACATACGGTGCTAGTAATGTGTTATAGATCAGGCTGGTGTATAGGTGGCGGTACATACGGTGCTAGTAATGTGTTATAGATCAGGCTGGTGTATAGGTGGCGGTACATACGGTGCTAGTAATGTGTAATAGATCAGGCTGGTGTATAGGTGGCGGTACATACGGTGCTAGTAACGTATAATGGATCAGGCTGGTGTATAGGTGGCGGTACATACGGTGCTAGTAACGTATAATGGATTAGGCTGGTGTATAGGTGGCGGTGCATACAGTGCTAGTAACTTGTAATGGATCAGGCTGGTGTATAGGTGGTGGTGCATACGGTGCTAGTAACGTATAATGGATCAGGCTGGTGTATAGGTGGCGGTGCATACGGTGCTAGTAATGTGTTATAGATCAGGCTGGTGTATAGGTGGCGGTACATACGGTGCTAGTAATGTGTTATAGATCAGGCTGGTGTATAGGTGGCGGTATATACGGTGCTAGTAACTTGTAATGGATCAGGCTGGTGTATAGGTGGTGGTGCATACGGTGCTAGTAACGTATAATGGATCAGGCTGGTGTATAGGTGGCGGTACATACGGTGCTAGTAACTTGTAATGGATCAGGCTGGTGTATAGGTGGTGGTGCATACGGTGCTAGTAACGTGTAATGGATCAGGCTGGTGTATAGGTGGCGGTACATACGGTGCTAGTAACTTGTAATGGATCAGGCTGGTGTATAGGTGGCGGTACATACGGTGCTAGTAACTTGTAATAGATCAGGCTGGTGTATAGGTGGCGGTGCATACGGTGTTAGTAACGTATAATGGATCAGGCTGGTGTATAGGTGGCGGTGCATACGGTGCTAGTAATGTGTAATAGATCAGGCTGGTGTATAGGTGGCGGTACATACGGTGCTAGTAACTTGTAATGGATCAGGCTGGTGTATAGGTGGTGGTGCATACGGTGCTAGTAATGTGTAATAGATCAGGCTGGTGTATAGGTGGCGGTACATACGGTGCTAGTAATGTGTTATAGATCAGGCTGGTGTATAGGTGGCGGTACATACGGTGCTAGTAACTTGTAATGGATCAGGCTGGTGTATAGGTGGTGGTGCATACGGTGCTAGTAACGTATAATGGATCAGGCTGGTGTATAGGTGGCGGTACATACGGTGCTAGTAACGTGTAATGGATCAGGCTGGTGTATAGGTGGCGGTACATACGGTGCTAGTAACTTGTAATGGATCAGGCTGGTGTATAGGTGGCGGTACATACGGTGCTAGTAACGTGTAATGGATCAGGCTGGTGTATAGGTGGCGGTACATACGGTGCTAGTAACGTATAATGGATCAGGCTGGTGTATAGGTGGCGGTACATACGGTGCTAGTAATGTGTAATAGATCAGGCTGGTGTATAGGTGGCGGTACATACGGTGCTAGTAATGTGTAAAAGATCAGGCTGGTGTATAGGTGGCGGTAAATACGGTGCTAGTAACGTGTAATGGATCAGGCTGGTGTATAGGTGGCGGTACATACGGTGCTAGTAATGTGTAATAGATCAGGCTGGTGTATAGGTGGCGGTACATACGGTGCTAGTAATGTGTTATAGATCAGGCTGGTGTATAGGTGGCGGTACATACGGTGCTAGTAATGTGTTATAGATCAGGCTGGTGTATAGGTGGCGGTACATACGGTGCTAGTAACTTGTAATGGATCAGGCTGGTGTATAGGTGGTGGTGCATACGGTGCTAGTAACGTATAATGGATCAGGCTGGTGTATAGGTGGCGGTACATACGGTGCTAGTAACTTGTAATGGATCAGGCTGGTGTATAGGTGGCGGTACATACGGTGCTAGTAACGTGTAATGGATCAGGCTGGTGTATAGGTGGCGGTATATACGGTGCTAGTAACGTATAATGGATCAGGCTGGTGTATAGGTGGCGGTACATACGGTGCTAGTAACGTATAATGGATCAGGCTGGTGTATAGGTGGCGGTACATACGGTGCTAGTAACTTGTAATGGATCAGGCTGGTGTATAGGTGGTGGTGCATACGGTGCTAGTAACGTATAATGGATCAGGCTGGTGTATAGGTGGCGGTACATACGGTGCTAGTAACTTGTAATGGATCAGGCTGGTGTATAGGTGGTGGTGCATACGGTGCTAGTAACGTATAATGGATCAGGCTGGTGTATAGGTGGCGGTACATACGGTGCTAGTAACGTGTAATGGATCAGGCTGGTGTATAGGTGGCGGTACATACGGTGCTAGTAATGTGTAATAGATCAGGCTGGTGTATAGGTGGCGGTACATACGGTGCTAGTAATGTGTTATAGATCAGGCTGGTGTATAGGTGGCGGTACATACGGTGCTAGTAATGTGTTATAGATCAGGCTGGTGTATAGGTGGCGGTACATACGGTGCTAGTAATGTGTTATAGATCAGGCTGGTGTATAGGTGGCGGTACATACGGTGCTAGTAATGTATAATGGATCAGGCTGGTGTATAGGTGGCGGTACATACGGTGCTAGTAACGTGTAATGGATCAGGCTGGTGTATAGGTGGCGGTACATACGGTGCTAGTAATGTGTAATAGATCAGGCTGGTGTATAGGTGGCGGTACATACGGTGCTAGTAATGTGTTATAGATCAGGCTGGTGTATAGGTGGCGGTACATACGGTGCTAGTAATGTGTTATAGATCAGGCTGGTGTATAGGTGGCGGTACATACGGTGCTAGTAATGTGTTATAGATCAGGCTGGTGTATAGGTGGCGGTACATACGGTGCTAGTAATGTGTTATAGATCAGGCTGGTGTATAGGTGGCGGTACATACGGTGCTAGTAATGTGTTATAGATCAGGCTGGTGTATAGGTGGCGGTACATACGGTGCTAGTAATGTGTAATAGATCAGGCTGGTGTATAGGTGGCGGTACATACGGTGCTAGTAATGTGTTTTAGATCAGGCTGGTGTATAGGTGGCGGTACATACGGTGCTAGTAATGTTTAACGGATTAGGCTGGTGTATAGGTGGCGGTGCATACGGTGCTAGTAATGTGTAACGGATTAGGCTGGTGTATAGGTGGCGGTGCATACGGTGCTAGTAATGTGTAACGGATTAGGCTGGTGTATAGGTGGCGGTGCATACGGTGCTAGTAATGTGTAACGGATTAGGCTGGCGTATAGGTGGCGGTACATACGGTGCTAGTTATGTGTAGTGTGATACAAATGTGATACACGTGTGATACTTAGAATTTTAAAGAGGATAAGTAAGACACGGTTATTATTAGGTGAGGTCAAATGGGGTTTAACGTCGCGTGCAAGTGTATTGCACTTATATAGCGATGTGCATGTACGTGTGCGTGTGTGTGTGGCTGCTTGTACTTGTCCTGACTGATGCCGATTAGTTCCAGCTCACTGAGATACCATGCTGCAGTTTAACATGAATATCCCTTTCAAACACAGTATACTGACTCCGAGCCGACCAGTCCTTGTTTTAGCCCCTTAATGACGAGCACCAGACAGGGTAACATCAAGTACCATCTTTTGGTATGACGCGGCCAGGGCGGACGGGCGGACGCTCTACCACTAGACCACGAAGGCGGACCGGTTTTATTAAGATCTTAGTGGTGCAACTGATCTGGACAAGAAATAGTTATA